TTATAATAAATGTTAACTATATATGTTAATTATAAACAATAAATATAAATATTTAATAATTGCATTTCTGTATTTTTCTGGATATTTCTATCTGTCAATATCAGATGTAATGTAAATGTTGCTTGGTGTTTACTAAATATGGGTACACATAACCTCATTCAAATTTATTATTATTCTGTATTCATATTACGAATTCATACTATGTTTGAATTTTGCAACATGAACTAGTGTCATTTTGTAGCCCGAGTTTTTACAGACTTCCTGAATCGAAATTTCAGTTTTACAATAAATCTATTTAGTTCTGTTTAGTTAATGCTGCCTTTCAGTCACTCAAGTCGCCTTTTACCACTTTTTCTTCACAAATCAGCAAAAAAATTTACTATCGTCCAAAATAGATCACTTTTTCTTCTGAAATACCGTTAGATTTGTAAAATATAGGCATTCTATTATATATATTTTTGCCTCCTCATTTGCTGTCGATTGCTCCAAAAACGTATTGTTCGTGTTCTTATACAATCGCGATTACGTTACCGATAATCTCGCTAGAATTTCTTATCAACCGCTCATCTCTACTACTACTAGGCGAATAAATACACGCGATAATCTTTTCTTGTTATGAACTTTCAAATCGTACTGTGAAAAGAACTTGCTATATGTTAAATTATCCAAAGATAAATAAAAAAAAATAAGATTAAATATTATTTTTTTATACAAATGATCTTAGTTATTCTTAGAATTTGACAAAATATATCACTTTTAGTCGCTATTTTGATGTCTAAGAAGTTATTTTTTGTCCTATTCTGCTAAGAATCAATCACTATTTCACTTTTTTTTTGTACCAGTGAATGGTTTGCAGCTCTGTATTTAATTCTACATTAAGTCTTCAAAAGTTTTCTATTGTGCTTCTTTGATGCTACAAGTAGAAAGTTATTTCCGGTTTTTCCGTTTGAATACTTAACGTAGAACGAAGTAGACTTAATGTAGGATCATAATTTCGACTCGGGTTGTACTATGAATTCTTGCACAAGTTAGGTCTCTAAAAATCCAGATAATAGGTAGGCATGAATTCCCGATCGGTCAAAAGACCCACTGCAACGTGAGGCTCAACCGCTAAGGTGTGAAATGATTCGAGGTGATGATTCCCAGGTGAAATTATGTTATTTACATTAAACAAACCTAAGTCAACACGTATATCAAATCCAAGGAAACCTTTTTCTCTCTGTGTGAGGAAGAGGGAACTTCCGTTACTTGAGCGATAATTAAGTAACCGATTAATCGAATAGTTTCGGCCGCTGAATCGCTACGCGATCAACTGGCGCGATTAATATAATGTTGTTATATTAACTAATTAGGTCCGTTGATTTTCCCTCGCGAAAGCCACGCGCGGCGTAGAATCGAGTTACACGGTTATTTATTCACGCGGGGCCGATCGCGTAAATGCTGACGCTGGGAAATATTCGTGTGCTTTCCCAATCGCGCGCGCGTTTGCGCTAATCGACACGTCGGCACTTCGCGAATACACGAGCGCGCGAGTGTTCTCCGATCGTGCAACGTTCCTACAGCGTAAAAAAAGCTGAGCTAAAAACAGCGGAAAAAACGGCGAATGACGTGTACCGTTTAAGTGTCTCTACACCGACTAGTGAAATTCGCAGGAAACACAACAGGAGTTATCATACACACACAAATGATAACAATTCAAAAATTGATCGAGGGAATTCAGGGAATCGTTTTATCGTCGCGACTGATAAAATTATTCGCGTGTATTTATTCGCCTAGTAGTAGTAGAGATGAGCGGTTGATAAGAAATTCTAGCGAGATTATCGGTAACGTAATCGCGATTGTATAATAACGTACTTTCTCTCTCTCTTTCCTCTCTTTTCCCCGCCGAATATATACGTGCTGCGGGCTCTTTTATTTCGAGCGCGGGAAATAGCACCGAAAGAAGGAGAGCCGCTGTTACATTCGGCAAGGTCTCGTTCCTTCGACCGAGGTTCGACGAGCGAGGCCGGTCGCCAAATGAAAGCGCGGTTATCCGGGCGGCATTACCCGCGAGTCGTGCGGTCTAATCTACCGGCGCCTTCTTTTTACCTTGCCGTGCGCGAATCTAGGCGCGGATCGCGTTATCGGCTCCGTCAATGACAGCGAGAGAGCGTGTCGAGGCCGCGGTTTCGTGAAATGTAGGCACGTATTTTTGTCAAGTTTGATTTTCAGGTACATCGATATCGGTCGATATACCGGAAGCTATCGCACCGTAATTGTATACGCTTTTCGCTATTGAGATACTGCGGGGGGAAAAGAAAACAAAGTGGGGTGAGTTGTAGATTAGCAATTAAACGATGTTGGTCGATAGCGAGGTATTTTTAGTTCCATTAATGTACACGATTCTCCCTTCAGCGAAATGAAAAACCGACAGACAACAAAGGAGAGAGAGAGAGAGAGATGACGAGTCTAAAATAAAAAGAAACGGGTTATTTATATCATCAGGTTGTTGATTAAATTAGGCGTGCCTCAGGTTATTTGTTTAATCACATTTTCAAATTAGGTACGTTAAAATGAGACACACGTTCGTGGAATATGACCGAGAGAGAGAGAGAGGAAAAAGCGAAAGAAAATTTCCGCTTAAATTCGGCGATGTGGTGTGCAGCAATTAATACAACTAAATCGAAAGAGAGATTTAAATAAAGTAATTAAGAGCCACATTGTTCCGTGAGCGTTCGCCCTTGGCGGACACTTGGCGTGTATCTCTTTTTTTTTTCACTCGTGGCTCTAAAGCGGCTCTTTATCGCGCGTTCATACGCACGCGTGTTTATTTCGGTCGATTTCCGCTCGGCGGTTGCATCAGCAGTCTCGCGCGCGATAGCGCCGTGGCGTGCGAATCGGGTCGCGCGCGCACGCTGGTCCTTCGTTGTCAGAAATACACCGCGGAATCTCGCGAAAGAAAACACTTTTTTTTTCCTTCTTTCTCTTTATCTCTCTCTCCATTGCGTCGTCCCAGCTAGTTATGGCGTTTTAGCGTCCTGGTGTGGCGGACGTTGCTTTATCGCTTTCGAAATTGGTGATCCGCTCGTTTCCCGCACTTATTAGCACGTCGGATGAACGCTTATGTGCGTGTGCACGTGCGCGCAGTGAGTCAGCCGAGGTATCCGTACACTTCCTGAATTGTTGACTCAAGTGAGATCTAATCGTGCGGACAAACAGTCCCGAGAAATTCTAACAGAAGCGGCGACCGAGGACGATGACTAGAGTCTCTCAAGTTAGGGTCTGTACACCTCCGACTTTCTGATCGAAAATGGCGTCTGGTTTGTCAGAAATGTTTTATATATGAAGGCGCCTACTTAATATCCCCAGATAACTTCCAAAAGAATCCTCCATTAGTGCAATGTTATTTCTTGAAAATGTTTATTTTATTAACTCTCTAATGGTAAGGTAGATTTTCAGTGTATCCAATAAAGTTGTTGGACCCAATATTTTTATGTTCATTTTTCATGCAATCAATGTACAAAATGGGTAAAAGAAGTAAATAATTATGTGAAATATTCCCTAAGGAGAGAAACAGCGCATGCATGCTGTAAAATAAACAAGCCATTGGGTCGCATCCGACCGCAATCTTATCGTTAGAAGGTTAAGAAAATACTGTTATATGCAATTTCTTTTTCGTATAAAGATTTGCTCCAGATAGAGTTTCTTCATTGACGATCCTCAATTCCGCCATTTTCGATCATATAAGAAACTAGTAGACCAATCAGAAGTAAGTCGGTGGTGTCCAGACTCTAACGACAACCAGAGACCCTCGAGTTTGGCCATAAGAAAGCTAGTTTTGATTGGTCCGCCATGTTTTGTCAACTCCCGTTCACATTTGATTCACACTAACCTTAACATAAACATATTTTTTGCGAGAAATAAAAAATACGTTTCAGAAGAATTAAATCATTCTTTTTACATAAAACATTAAAATATATATACAAAGGAAAACAAATGTGTTATTAGACCGATTTTAATAAACATTATAGTTATTACTTTATTATAATAAAGTAATACATGATTACTAATCTCACAAGGAAAATAATTGTTTGTTGGTGTCCAATTTTCACGCGGAACATTCTGTGTCCATAAAGCCCGGCGTACGGGATCTCAAGGAAATATCTTCGTGATATAACCTTTGAGTGACGAATTGTTGCAAAACGGTGCGGCACATTTACAATTTTCAAAATGTTTCAAGTATACAGCTGCAACACTTATTATAGCGTGAACTGTCATAAACATCGATGCGAACGCATCAGAAAAGCTTAAGGTTAAGGAGAAAGAGAATTTTGTGAGTGAATGCGTGCGTGCGTATCCTTCTCTCTCGCAGGATTTTGACAAAATTGCCTTATGGCCGGATTCTAGGGTTTCTAACGACGACGTGTCCTCTCGCACCGAAATTTCCTCATTGTCGCGAAGAAGCGCGTTTTCGGTGCTCGTCCATGAGAAATCTAAACGGGGCGAATGGTGTCCATAGGCGATTTATTTTAGAAGACCGAAGAGAGACGCGAAAGAGGCTCGACGACGATGGGTTCGTGTCGACGCAAAGCGATCGACCCAATTCTGTCGGCGGTTGCATACAAGTATTTTTCATCGCGCCGATCGCCGCGCTCTTCGCCCTTTGCTCTCCGTCCTCCTCGGCACCGCCATTGTGTCCGAGTTGCGCTTTCTTTCCACGTTGCGTTTTCACGAGGCGTCTAACAGCGACAGTTTGTTTAACGCACGCCCGAGCAGCGCTTCCGACAGCTTCCGAACAGCTTCGGATTTATAGCCGCACCGTATTCGCGAGCCTCCTGAAGGACCCGGTCCGAAAGCAGAATGGACGCGGCTGGAATGTCGCGGGAAGGTCGAATCGATTTTCATGTATATTTTTTCCTCCCTTTTTTCCAATGCTCAAGGTGTCGGCGATCGCTGTCGATGAATCGATGAGGCAACGATAACGCAACGATAACGCAACGTCGTGCTCGTTTTCGTTTCAGGCAGCTGCGTGAGGGAACGCTCGAGGAAAACGGCCTACAACATGGTAGTCGGCTGACGTTGCTGCCGAGCGTGGAAACCGGACTACTGGTAAGTTGAACTCTCGTGTCCTATCCGCACGTGGGTATTAGTCAAATCACAACCTACTACTGGTGCAATAATGGTAGAGTAGTTATCAGCGCATGGTTTTTATCGTGCCTCGTTACCGCCGTGCAGAAACGGTGCAACCGAGTCGAAATTTTGGTCCTGCATTAAGTATTTATTTATTCTGTATATTGAGTCTTCAAATGGAGAAAACGGAAATAACTTTCCATTTGTAGCATCAGAGAAGCATAATACTAAACCTTTGTAGACATGGATCCATTCATTTTTATCGATAAAAGTATCTTAAATGTGGCTTCTCAGCCAATCAGGTAGTTCCTAAGTCACTTTTAGTATTATATTTTTATTATTTATAATATTTATAATATTTTTTTTATTTTAATATATTTATTAATAGCTTGAAAAAAATACCTAACACAGTAATATTTTAATTTGTAACTTTGTATTTCATGTAAGTATAATATGGTTTTAAATTTGAGAGAATATTTATTAGAATTATGTGATACTTCTTTTTCATTGAAAACCTTAGTGGTTTTAAATTTCGATTTTTCTGTCCAGTGAATATTAAAAAATAAATTCTAATAAATATTTAAAAAATAAATTCTGACATTCTCAGTGAAATTAATATTTGTCACAATTGTTTTAACATATACAAGTAAATGTTTACTTATAAAAGAAATATTATATTGTACAAGGTCAATTATATTTTTATTTCTAGAAAATATTTGCCAAGAAGTATTAGATTCACCATTTTACTTCTCAATCAAATAAATATTACTTGAACGATATTGGTTTTTTTGTTCAGTATATATATACATATATTCGCGTCTAGACGCATATGAATTTTCTTCGATAAACTATTTTATAGAACAAATTAGCGCGAAATGTTTCATACGGATGTGTTATGGCGTACACATTTTCCATATTGTATCAACGAATGTTTATATTTGCTGTTCGTTCCTTGTTAGTTAGTTCGGTGTACAGCCAGTTTTAAACGCGTAGCGAACGTTAAGTATGCTCTTTCAATTCCGAGTCCCGCGTTTTCTTAGGAGTATAATGTGTAAGTCCACAATAGGTGTGGTAAGCTTTCAATCTTTTGCTCTAAGCGATAAAATATAACATAATTTCTGACAAAAGACGTTCCTCGTGCTGCCAAGTCACAATGATATTTAAATCTTAGAAATTGCGATGTCTAATAGTGCTTAAAACGTTTCTTGCTATACTGAAAAAAATTGCTACATTCAAATAAATATTTTCCAAGGAATATTAGAGTAATTTATTTTATTTGGACTAAATAAATATTATTTGAATGTAGCACTTTTTTTCTTTCAGTGTGTTACATTCAAGTAATATTTACCTAATCCAAATAAAATAAACTACTTCAATACTTTTTAGTAAATATTTACTTGAATGTAGTAATTTTTTTTCAGCGTAGAAATTAGGTTTACGGAGAAAAAGAATTGGCTGACACAGCAAACTTTATGCTGTCGCAGCAAAATCTGTCAGTTACTATATGGGCGCATAACGATTTGTTAATATTAATTGCCATTCGCTGAATTGTTTTGCTGAATTTACAAATTATTTTGCTATAAGAATAAATTAGCAAATATAGGAAAATACTATTTGAACAACAAATTAATGTGTTTTAAAGACGAATTCATTTAGTAGAATAATTTCTATCCTGATAACAAAATTGTTTTTTTACTCTAATTACGAATAATTCGCTAATTTAGTTAAGCGAACTAAATTTGATTGCTATTGCAACGAATATGCAGTGACAACGATGGTTTCGATACAACAGCGAAATCATTTTTCTCCGTATACAATTTACTGCTTAGAGCAAAAGGCTACACGGAAGAAAAGGAATTAGCTGTCCATATAATACAACAATGAAATTTAACTACCAGACCTAGTTTTCAGCTGTGGAAACTAAAAATTAGGTAGGTATACAGGAACAAAAAGAATTAACTAAATTAACTAAATTTTAGTTGTACCAATCCTGGTCTACAATGTTTTAAGCCTTAGAGCCTTAAGAAATTGACCAATTAGTAGTCGATCATTCTCTTCACATTCGATGAATCACATTCACTGTAATTGGTCAATTTCTTAAGGCTGAGGGCTTAAAACATTTGTCGTAGACGGCTTATATGGACAGCTAATTTTTACCTGTAGGAACTAGGAATTTTTAGCTATGACAGCTACTTATCCTCATGTAAAAGCTCACTACATCTACCGTCGATCCGAACAACTATGTTGTTCCCACTTGAGAATCAGAAAGGCATATTTTAACGTTCGATACATGTCTTCCAACTGGGGATCCGCGCTCCTCACGGCGAGTGCACCGGCATAACGCTATTTGTTTTTTCCCTCGCGTCCGCGAACGTACAACCCGGATTTTCTCGCTCGGCACTTGGTCTCTCTCCATCATGGAACTGTTCCTCGCTCGCTCGTCGCCGCCGTCGTCGTCGTCGTTCCGCAGAGGATGCTCGGTGACTCTCCCGACGAACGTATCGCGGAAAGGCGCGATCCGCGCGCGCGGACAAACGCCGTTAACTCCCCCGGCGTGTATCGCCGGGTCACTTGGTTTCTCGGTCAGCATATCGACGCCTTTATCCTGCCCGGCGATTCGTGAACCTTCGTCGAGTCTTCTGCCCTTCGCAAGTCGGCCAGACTTTTCGGTAGCGAGACGACGTTAATAAATGCGATACGTGTTCGTACAATCGCGTTAATGATGTAATAACACGCCAACGGATATTGCGGTACATTCGGTACACCTCGTCGAGCGATTAGCGCCGTCGCTAAGAAGGAACGCGTCGAACAGCGGAAATACGCGGATAAGGCGTTTGGTCACGTTCATCTCCGGAATCGTGCGATACTCGGCAAATTTTTCGGAGTGAAATTCCACTCGGAAATGGATAGCCGAGTCACACGAGTGATTTTTCGCTCACGTCGAGTGAATTCTTTACTTCGAAGTTCGCCGAGTGAATATTTCTGCTCGAAATTGAACAGTGAATCTATGACGTGTCCCATCACCGCAGGAACAATTTCACTTGAACGCCTCGCGTTGGTATTTAATTGGCGCTCGCGCGGGATGTATGCGGTTATTTGAGTTGACGCTCGAAGAGAACAAAAGCGTACGTTACATTATATGTCTGAGGTTCGCATTAATAGTCGTTACTTGAAACTTGTCTTATGTGAAATACGCAGATCTGAATTTACTTCCGTATTAGTAGTCGTTACAATGAGAGAGAATGTATTATCGATCAAATAATATTAACTTTTAATATTGACCCAAATAAAATTCCAATAATCCTTGGCAGATATTTATTAGGGTTGCGTTCGAAAACCCTATTCAACAAGTAGAGTAGCATTTAATAAACCAATCATGATGAAGAAATCTCTGTTCTTTTTGTCCTGATTGGTCAATTAAATGCTACTCTGCCCGTCGAATAGAATTTCTGAACGCAGCCTAAAAGTAGAAATATAATTGGCTATATACAGGGTGTTGCATCAACATAAGACCCATTCAGATGGTAATTTCGGATTTGTCGATATAGTCGTATCTTTCCAATGAAGTTATAGCGTTCCTAATTATCATAATAAAAAAAAAGGGTATGCGAGTGACTATATCGACAAATCCGAAATTGCTATCTGGACGCGCGTGCCTTTGGGCAATGAACCCATCGTATAATGGATCGTATGTTGATGCAACACCCTGCACACGGAGAAAATATTATAAATAGAAGTTACCACAAAATTTTATAATATTGGACTATACCGGAATTATGAGAGAAATTATGATGTGTATTATAATCTTTAGCGATATATTTCATATGTACACATCACTAAAGATTACAATACATAATTGCAATCATAATTTCGGTATGGTCCAGCATTAAACAATTTTGTGGTAATTTTTATCGCAATATTTTCTTCGTATACAATATGATATTTCCTTCGTATAAGAAATTTACTTGTATGTGTTAAAAAATTGCAATAAATATTAAATTCATAATATCGAAAATATTAGAATTTATTTTTAGAAAATATTTACTCTTTCCTTCTATAAACAGAAAAATCTAAATTAAAACCACTAGGTTCTTTCAATGGAAAAAAATATTACATAATTCTAGTAAATATTCTCTTAAATTTAGAACCATTTTACACTTATATACAGTAATTCATTTATAAATTAAGACATTATTGCATTTAAATATATATTTGCTACAAGCTATTAAAATTTAGAATTATATTTGAGATTTATCTTTGTATAGGTATGATATATATACGATTTTACAATCACAATTCAGTTGAAAAATTCACACCTAACTCGAAATTCAAATCTGAGTGTCCCACCTGAAGCAGCGTCCAAATAACGACTATTAAATACGGTTCTTAGAGTTAAATCTGAGTTTTTCAGTTGAATCATATGACATACGTGACGTTATATTTGCAATTGCGATTTCGCTGAAAAATTCACACTCAACTTTAATCTCGAGTCTTCGATGTCTCACTTGAGATAAATTTCGACTATTAATACCGGTTTGAGACACTTACTTGAGGAATTTGGCTCGTAAAAAGCAGAACGTCTAGAAGACGCGATTTTAACGGGTTAATCGTTACGGCTGAAATCTGTAGAGGGTCAGAATACATTCTAAGCTTGAGCGAGACATTCGGTCTCACGATTCCGAGTGGCGGCATTTCTACCGTCGCTTCGAATGAATTTTCCCTTATTTTTCACTGAGATCCCACTCTGCGAGAAATTTACAGGGTACAAAAACTGTAGTCCGAACAAGAGAAAAATGCGCTCGTTGCAGGCGTGGTGACGCCGATCTGTCGCGGAAATTGGGGCGCATACGCGCACATGACGTCCAATAACGAACACGTGTTGCGACGCGGGCGTCTATACGGCAACGTTTCGCAAAGTCTGGCCAAACGTAACGTAACGTAATCTGACTTTTTAACCGGCTGCACAGGTGCTGTGAGTC